ATCAAAAGATAACTTTTCTCTCTCCATTGACTTCAATGTATAATTTTCCGCTTCCGGGGTCCCATGGAGGCTCCCGGAAGGGGAGGGACTTCGCCTCTCTATAGCTAGGCCCTCTGACCCCCACCCCTTCCCTCGAAATGAAGAAAAAAAAAAGAAGTTATGTCACGTACAGCCCAGGGTCGTTATGTCACTCCAGCGGAATATCAAAACAACGGCCCGGGGTGCAAAACGCATCAATGAAAGCGACCCTCTACCACACAAAACAACACCTGTGAACCCAATTTGTGTTCTTTGACATTGAAAATAATATTGCATTGTGTTTGTTACTCCCGTTGCAGTTCTATGTCTTAAGTGTAATTCGGCATGTTTTTATTTTGAAGGCGAGTTCACGTTGTTGTCAAGAAGTTGTTGTTGCTATGGAAACAAGAAAAAAGTTTCACAGCGGGCGGAACTTGTCATAAAGTCCGTGATAATAAAACCCATAGATATATAAACACTAATAGATTATATAGCAACACAAAAACAAATGCCCATAATAATGACAATAGATCATGTTTAATAATGCAATGAAAAAATATCAAAACCACAAATGATAAAAGTTGAAACTATAGAGTATATTGGTAAAACAGGAAGTGTTTCACGCGGTTCATGTTGCATGCGTCTTCGGCCATTTGCCAATCTTTATTACGCAGATGCTGCTCCCCCCCCCCCTGACCAGAGGTGCTTCCGAGGCCCTTTGTAATGACTACAAATGGATCCGCCCAGTGAGTGGGAAACCATGAATCACAAGACATTCAAACCATCTTTTCAAAAATAAAATAAAGTTCATTTTAAAAAGTGTGATTTCGTTTTTCTGTGTCTATCACTACTGCCAGATTTTGATGCCTTTCATTGTTGTAAGTTTTTGTTGTTGTTGCAAACTATTTAAATGTTCCACTTAATGAGTTATATTTTATGTATAAACGGATCACTTGATATCTAGCAGTTTTGGGAAATGTGTCATAATATGTGAAACCTCTTGTTCTAACATTCAAATGCTCTCAAACTTATTTGTGACTTGAGAAAGTGAGCGAATATGTTTCCTTCACAGTGTCAGCGACACGCTGCTGTACTCTGACACTGTGTAAAGGAAAGGCAAACAGCCTGAGAGTCAGCTCAGGGTTTCTCTCTACTTCCTGAGCTACTGCATTCTCAAAGGTCCACAATAAAAGGTTAGCTTCGCTCAAACAACCACAGTACAAAGGAGAAGTCCAGGACTTAAATGCACATGTGCTGATACCAATATGGTTTGAACCTTTATTGCACAAAGATTACAGTTCTTTATGTTTCCTTACTAACATTTGAAAGCTTTGTAAACAGTGAAGCAGTGTCTGTCTCCCCGATGTGTTCAGGGCCTCAAGGTAACCTCACCTTCAGCCCCCGGGTCACACTTCCTCACATAGTCTCAAAAGTGTGTGACGGAGGCCAAGCATTGAGCGGCTGTGAAGCAGAGAGGAGGGGGGGCTGGGTCTCACACACACCAGCAGTGTGCCTACACAAAGAACTACAACTGAAACATATTTCTGAGCGTGGGGGTTATAAACATTTTCTTTTCAAACCGTTTCATCCATGTTATCACAATTGACGAACAGACCTAAACATTTACATCTTTAAAAATAGTTTGGCTTTGGATGCAAATGAGGAAAAATACACTTAAAGTTGCCCTTTCATTCACGACACACGCAAAGCACTCGTGTCTCTCCGCAGGCAGATCCTGGACACAGAGAGAGAGAGAGAGAGAGAGAGCAGCTTTAGTCTCTCACTCCACTGGACATCATAGAGGGTCTGTCCAAGTCCTCATGCTCTGTGTGAGTGTGTGCAACACTACAAAGAGTTCTCATCACACACAAGACAGACAAAGAAATGGCACATAGCTGGTTGGTGTTTCTATTCTGGGAGTAAGATAACTAAGATTTGTTTTGGTTCTTTTTCTTAAAGGTTGCTACCAGGCAGATGACAGGATGCAGGGTGACTCTTCTCTAACATGGAGGAGGTGGATGTGCTCTATGGAGTCTGTGCCATGCCACGAGTAGACTTCATCTTCTCCAGGCGTTTAGACAGGTGGCTGTTGTTGGACTCCACTTCATCCACCTTGTCCAGTGCTGAGCGCAGCTGTAAACACAGGGGGGGGGGATTATCATTTTTTGTTTTACAACTTTGATTACATGTTAAATATGTTGACGTGTTAAATGTTTTTACAGAGGGGATTTTGGATCTCTTTGTATCAGTTCATAAATCAGAAAATACTGTCAAACCGGCAAAGTATCCACTTTCTCCAAGTTTTAAGAAATAAAAAGCTCTATAAAAAATGTTCTAAATGAAATATGCCAAGGCTGTGGTGTCTCTCAGGCCATCCATAGGAGCATTGAATTCAGGCAGCAGCTGATAGCTAGCAGACAAATAACTAGAGTGACCTTCAGGTAACAGAAGAGGGAGAGAACTCTGGAGACAGAGTTTGGTTGGTCTGGGCATGTGTAGAAACACGGTGGTGCATCTCAGCAGACTAAAGACTTTGGGGTGACTTTACACTAATGACAACACAGCTATGAATACTTGATTCTATTTCTGATAATATATCCCCCTTCATGCTAAATGCTCCACACTGGCCCCTTAAGAACTCCTCTGTACCTCTCTCTGGAGTTTCCTCTTCTCTGCCTTCAGCTCATCCTCCACCTTCTCTGCGTTCTCTGATGCTGACTTGTAGCGCGTCACCTGACCCTCCAGCCTGGTCACCTGGAGAAAAACATAAGCCTTGTTGGAGAGAATATTCATGTATCAGGTATGCTCCGAGGTCATCGTTCTTCTCAGCTTACATTCTGTTCTAAAGCGGTGACTTCCTGCTCTGCCTTCACCAGTTTGAACTTGAAGTCGCTTATTTGCCTGTTTGAATCTCCTGGAAGGATTAAACAGATATGTATGAGTGGTTGGAGAGGGAATACATAGCAATATTGTGTTTTCATGCACATGTGTACTCACGCTGCAGCTCCATTATGTTTGGGTCGTTGCCGTTTTCAAGTATTTCTCCGTCCGGGCTCAGAGTGTTCTCGGTGCCATTCCTCGGGGTCTTCTGCTCCAGCTGGGCCTTCAGCTTCTTCACCTGCAGAGGAGACACACTCATCAGCTGATGCATGACACAAGACCCACACTTACCAGCTGTCAGTTTCTGAGTCTACAAGATTGTCAACACTGTAATGCCGGCCACCTCACCCCTTTTAGTTGGTCACTGGATCATACTATCATATTGTCATACTACTTTCTCTCAGGGTGTACATTTTGGTGTGCTTATGTACATCATCAGGACAGTGTATATGGGATCAAATCAACATAAACGCCATCTGTTTATGGCAATGAAGGAGCATGTGGTGCACTGATGTGTTGATGGACAACAAAGGTGCTCTATAGGGGCGTTCACACCAAGTTATTTTCCCACAATAGTTCATGAGAACTCAGTTCATGAGAACTCTTTTAGTTCTGATGAACTAAAGCAGATCGCGTTCACACCGGAATAAGTCCCTGGGGGAGGATTAGGCAAATGAAGCCGCTGACGTCACTTCTTCTTCTTTGGGTTTACTGGCAGGCCGCAAACAACTTCACAGCGTATACTGCCACCCCAATTCCCCGGCCGGAAGTCCCCGGAGTTGGGGACTGAGTAAATCGCAAGAACGCCGACACCTCCTCATCTCCAATGCTCCCATGTTTTCTTTTGTGTTGCCATAAGTTAGCCTCTCTGCGTTTGTGCGCTGGGCTAATGCTAATAAGAGGATAATAACATGGCGGCTTCACAAAACTTTTTGAGAGTTTTACGGGGCGTGGTTTGCATTCCGCCCAGCCAATCAGACATAGGAACCTTTTTCTCCCACGAAAGTCCCTGCTCTCTAGCAGGGACTGAAAAGGGGGAAAAATGGTTCTGATGAACTAATTTAGTTCAGGGGGCTTTTTGGTGTCAACGCAAATATATCTGAGTTCTGATGAACTATTATGGGAAAAGTACTCCGGTGTGAACGCGCCTTATGCCAGAAAGGAAACGGACATACACACCAAGTGTATGTAGAATCAGTTCCTTGTTGGTTTTGAGCTCATTAGGCGCGTTCACACCGCAGTACTTTTCCCACTTTAGTTCATCAGAACTCTTTAGTTCTGATTAACTAAATACAGATCGCGTTCACACCGGAATAAGTCCCTGGAGGTGGATTAGGCAAATGAAGCCGCTGACGTCACTTCTTCTCCTGCTGCTTTGGGTTTACTGGCAAGCCGCAAACAACTTCACGGCGTATACTGCCGCCCAAAATCCCCGGGCGGAAGTCCCCGGAGTTGGGGACTGGCAATAGAAATTACTTATAAACAAAACAATGTGAGCTATAACTGGTGGACTCAGCCCAGCTATCTCCTCGGCCGCCTATCCGAGTAAATTGCCCCCAGAACGCCGATCACCTCTCATCTCAACCGCTCAAGTTTTTCTTTTGTGCCTGCCATATGTTAGGTTGTACCATAAGTTAGTCTCTCTCCGTTTCTGCGCCTGGGCTAATGCCTAAATAATGCAATTCGGAGCGGATAATAACCATACGTGCACTTCAACTGCGAATGACAGGGCTTCAACAAACCTTTGCGAGTTTTACGGGTGTGTGGTTCTGCAATCAGACATAGGAGACCTTTTTCGCCGCGAAATCTACTTATACACACTGCTCTCTAGCAGGGTACTGAACTAGTGGTAAAAAAATGGCTTCATTCATGAGCCGCGTTTACACCGCAACGTATACATTTGCAGAGTGTACTACTTAGCTGCCGTGCACTTAGCCTGCCCCGGCCCCACTTATTCCCAGGCGCTACTAAGTACCATCGCGTTTCACACCGGAATGATGCTTATTCCTCTGTATGGGAAGTTTACGCAAATGACGCCGCTAGACGTCACTGCGTACTTCTTCTGCTCAGCGGTTTTACTGGCAAGTTTAGATGCAAACAACTTCACGCGCATATTAACTGCCGCCCGGAGGTCCCCGCCGGAAGTCCGGCCGACCGACGTATGCCAGTCACGCTTCAACAGCGAGGCCTCCGAAAGTCCCCGGGCGCCGAAACAGTCCCACCGGCCGAAGTCCCAGATGTGGGGGAGCTGGTCTTCAGTCCTAGAAGACTGCTGCGGCGCAGTCCCAGACTAAGACTACTACTGTGTCTACTGCAAGCCAGTCTTCCGCAGCCTCAGTCAGTAATCATCGCCAGAACCTGTCTGACACTCACAACGTTACCTCATCTCCTACGCTCCCATGTTTATTTTTTGTGTGCCAGAAGTTTTCATCTCTCCCGCTTGGTGGCGGGGCCTACAAATCAGCCTAATAACTGTATGCCCTAAATGGCCACAGAATTACAAATCGCGCGAGCCCTTCACATAATACCTTTCAGGGGTTTTACGGCCGTTGTCCACGTCCGTAGCACCGGCGCGTGCTATTTTGTTGCAATTTGCCCAGCGCAAAATCAAGAGACTGGGGCACTCTTTTCCCTCCCCAGGATAAGTATACTACCTATCTCTAGCAAGCGCACTAAAAATGGGAGTAAAAGTTCCCGACACTAATGAAACTCTTCTTGTGTGAACGCAAAATAAGGGTTAGAGACCTACTAACGCGAACTATAAGTGGGAAAAGTACGGGGAAAAGTACATCCTGTGTGAACGCCGGCTATGGAATTCAATTTAGTTCCTGCGGGCTTTTGCCGCGGTGAACGCAAGTATATCTGAGTTCTGACAGAGTGAACTATTGCTGGAAAGTACTTCTCGGTGGTGATACGCGCTCGGGTCGCCCATGGAAGCGGCGGCTGAGGCTCGACTCTGATCAGATCACGGCTGCTGGAAACATGGCCTATTTTGGTGTCGATTCACTTGATTTGTTGGTAATGAGAACATTTATAAGTAAGGCATTGCCCTGATTGCACACTAAAATCTATTCACAAGATAAATGCTATACTGTACGCATTTCAATGGGACCGAAAACTAGTTGACCGCCTATCTCTGAACTATTTGTATGAGACTTTACTACTGTAGTTTTCGGGTCCCCCAGGGCGTCAGTACTGGGTCCTACTCCTGTTATTCATCTTCCTCCTTCCCCTGGTCGGCTCCTGCATGTGAGCAGCATGTGACTCCAATCCATTCTGTGAAAGTGATTGACTGCCTCTTATCCTCATGTGTCTGCTTCCAAATGTCCCTTTCCTTGCATTTTACCGGTCTGTTCACCGCAGCTATGTGCGTAATTTGTATGAATCTCGCTGTCTTGGTGCTCCTGAAAGACGTTACACTCATAAAAATGTATTATTGTTATTATCAGTGGTGGAATTTAACTAAGTACATTAACTCAAGTATTTCCTAAGTAAAAAAATTGCTAGGTAACTTGTTATTTAATCAAGTATTGCTACATTATCCTACTTTGATACTTGTTACTCCACTACTTATTTAGGAAACATGCTGAATTCTTTTCTTCAGGCACATTTATTTAACCTCATAATATTACCTTACTACTTTGCTCATATTAGATCCTTAATACAAAAAAAAAACAACAAATTGCATTATTTACTATTATTAAGTACCCAGTGATATATTAAACTAATTTAATAAACCCTTAAACTAAATTCCTTTAAACTTTACTGCAAAACTGATGTGATGAACACATTGCATCATCAATAATTTAATATAAATGATGTTTAAATGTTCCCATTCCCCATAATGAAATACTTTTACATTTCGGCCTACTTTAACAGCTACACTGTGGATGCTATATACATGCGACTTTTACTAAGTACTTTAGCCATTGTAAAGACTTATTACTTGAATTTTAGGTACTTTTTACTAATGTAGTATTGCTCTACTTGTTACATCTGGTTTTTATGCTGTTATTGTAGGTGTCTGTTGCGAAGTGGAATCTTCTCTTTGAGTGAGGACTTGGTTTTTGCTTCTGGTTTAAAAACAAGCGTTCCCATTGCAAACCAAGTCAAACAGGAGAAACATGAAGAGCCACAGCGCTGCCACAGACCACGCTGCCTCGATCATCTTCTCACGCTCATCCACCAAGCTTCCTCAGGCGCGGATCTCTGCCAACGGAAGACATGTTGGAAGAATTTCATATCAAAACATCTGGAAT